ATGGTTGGAGAAACTGATATTCACAGGTCAAATAGATGGAAAGCGAGACAATGGAAAGCAATACATGACATATTCAGCGGGCTTAAGCAAATGTATAACAGAACATGGTCTAGGGTTAAGTAGGAAAAGAACAAAACTTATTGTGATATACAAGGGATAGGGCGAAGTGGACTTGGCACATAAATGAAGAAGATTTATTTGCAAATTAAGGAGATATCAGAAAATTAAAATTTTGAAAATGCAAGACGTAGTACACAACCATTTGCTCATAAGTCAAATCTTAAAATAAGATTTGGAGAAATTATAAACATTTTGAATACATATTAAAATATATTTTTCCAATGAAACCTGACTCAGTGCATATGTTAGTACTTCGTATGGCCATCGTTCCTTGCAGAGTGACCACAAATTCTCGATTTGATTATCAGAAGAGTTTCCGGGCCAGTCTATAGTGCTTTGATTTGCTCACTGGTAAGGCTTGTGTTCGTGAAGCGTTACAATTTTTGTCCGCTTCCTTCGCGTAACGCCTATCGCAGACAATGACCGTAGGACAACTAATCGACAGTCGAGACAATAGTGTCTGGGCGTGATAAAAATCTGATGCAGTCACGGATGACACAATATCTTTCAAGGTCAAACAAATTTCATCATACACACCGAAAACAGATTCATATTAGTGTGCACTACTGCAAATGAGCTAATCTGAGGAGAAGTAGAAATCGATTACACACTGTTACTCTAGGGGACATAAACTGATAATATGGTGAAATAAAGGAAACTTAAGCGGTTATTTCAATTAATTTGTGCAGGGGTATATATATATGTCCCCGGGCAATCTGTGGACTAAACCTGCAGGACAAAAAATCCAATGCTGACCTTCTAACGATGTGTAACATTGACGGAATTGAGAGCTTCCTCGTGAGGGCACAGTTACGATGGGCCGGTCATGTTGTACGGATGCAAGATGGTAGAATTCCACAGATTTTCATGTACAGCCAGCTTGAAGGTGGTCAACGGAATGTTGGCCGACCCTTGCTCAGGTTTAAAGATAAGCTGAAAAGTAACCTTGCAGCTGCAAATATTGCACCCACTGATTTAGAGAATACTGCCTTGGATCGCAAAGCTTGGAAAAGTGTAACTTACACTGGAATCAGGAATTTTTCGGCGGCAAGCGTTGTCAAGCCCCGTGAAGCAAGAGAAAGGAAAAAAGCCTCAGAGTGTGCCAGAGAAGTGCACCCTCTTTGCTCACACGCTTGCCCAATCTGTGGTTTTCTTTGGAAGTCATTAGCAGGTCTGAAATGTCACTCTAGATTCAAACATAAAGGTCATTAAAAAGTTGTCGGAACCTCATACGTCGAAATCGACGGGAGAGTTCATCATATATATATATATATATTCCTGCAGAGAAAATCACATAGATGAAAAATGGGATCAAGCCATGCCTTGTTCCGAGGAATCCTGTAGCCTAAACGGTAAGGTACACATATATGATGATCCCATTCGTACTGATAGGTTTTATTGATTGATTCATTAATTTCTACGGTTTATCAACACTTTGTTGGCTATTTAAAACTAGAAAACATTTTTTGATTGTAAGACTTTCTTTTGGAGACTTACTAATTAACCGATACCTGGGGGAGAAGAGGTGGATTACACACTGTTACTCCAGGGACCTAAAACTGATCGTATGGTGAAAGAAAGGAAACTAAAGCGGTTATTTCAATTAATTTGTGCAAGGGTATATATATATATATATATATATATATATATATATATATATATATATATATGAAGAAAAATATACTGAAAAAACAAACAAAAATCCTAATATACGATTATGCTGTTTTAATGTTTAATGTCAACGTCGGACGTTTCGGTCTAATGGACCATCTTCAGGACATATTCATAAAACATAATTAACATAGACGATATACAATTCAACATGAAAAAGACGATGGACATAGAAGCAATACCAATCCAAACAGATAACTGAAATCTTTTATAAGATCAGCGTTTCGTTTAAATATGATCACGTCGTCGTCACGTGGGCGATGTTTTGAAAACGTATTCCTAAAATTTGAGTATTATGAATGAAAAACGAAAAGAATTTTATTTTGATCTAAAACTTATATGTACGTTTGTCGAGCATTAATCTTGCTAGAAATATATATTTGCTTACACACACACACACACACACACACACACACACACACACACACACACACACACACACACACACACACACATATATATATATATATATATAATGAAAAAACAGACCACTTTAAGGTACCATTACAATAATTTATTTCACCAAAATCCTTTTTGAAGGACTCCGGATCATCAGGTAACACTTCCAACAACGAAATGAAAGGAAAAATGGGATTAGAAATTGATGGGTAGTGTAATTTTTGTAATTTAACAGGGGGGGGTGACAACGAGACAAGGTAGAGTGTAGGGAGGGGTAAAAAAAACCAATAACTCATTTCCAATAGCATTTTTCGGATACAACAATACATATATTTTCGTTGTCCTCTTATTACTGAGAGAAAAAATAAGAACAACATCTATTCCATACCTGAAGATGTCTGTAGGAACAGACGAAAGCTTGTAGTAAAAATAAGAACTAATGCAACAGAAATTTATTAAAAACAAGGATCTTTTCATTCATAACAGGTTCGGGGTTTTTGTATATTATTTGAATTGTTCGCGACGATGGATTTCTCGCCAATTAAATCATTAACCTTTGTATTTGTTTTTGTATGAATAATTCATGAATATATATATATATATATATATATATATATATATATATATATATATATATATATTCCTGCAGAGAAAATCACATAGATGAAAAATGGGATCAAGCCATGCCTTGTTCCGAGGAACCCTGTAGCCTAAACGGTAAGGTACACATATATGATGGTTCCATTCGTACTGATAGGTTTTATTGATTGATTCATTAATTTTCTACGGTTTATCAACACTTTGTAGGCTATTTAAAACTAGAATACATTTTTTGATTGTAAGACTTACTAATTAACTGATAGCTGGGGGAGATGAGGAGGATTCATACCTTTCCCAAGTGTATTTGCGCGAAAATAAATATAACGAACCCAACAGGAATTGGAACTCATTACTCTATTTACAAACCTGATATTCCCAAAGCGGTCACTAATCTACGTACTTACCAGGCTCGACGTTGCTTAACTTCGTTGATCATAGGGAACAGGTGTTTCAACGTTATATAGCCGTTAGCCCTACTGAGGCTGTTATATTGGAATACAGCTCACCAGAGAGCAAACAAAGGCGACCCCATTTTGAATAAGTAGATCACGTGATAGTAAAGAAAATGTTTATATGGGAATTAGCGTTACATCCAGATTACTTCGAAAGTGAGCTTGTCAAACACTTTGCCTCCGGGCAGGGAGGATCCACAGACGAGGCTATGTCGAAGGGCAGAGTCTCGTCTCGGGAGACAGCTACGCGATCCCGTTGTTTTACGGGGTGTACGTGGATTTTTGGCCAAGTCTACGGGCTTGGATACCCCGCAATAGACTCGACCTTCTGCCAGATCCGATTGCGTGGAGACATTAGTGAATATCTCATTATCCGGGTTACTTCACAAGTGAGCTGGTCAAACTCTCAACCTCCGGATAGAGAGGATCACCAAATGAATTTTTACCTGATCCTACAGGCTCGGATACACCACAATAAACTCGGCCTTGTGCCACATCCGACCGCATCGGACGGTTAGTGAATATACGGATTACTATTTGGTGGTTATTTTTGAGCGAGTATTATCGAGCAAGTAGTATTAGTGCGAGTGTTATTCGAAGGCGTTGGACGCCAGTGTTGTTCAACGGCGTTACTATAGTTGTATCTGCGATTACAAAGTCTCTACTACAACGAGCATTACGAAAGTGACAGCGACTATTCGTTGACATTACAAAAGTGGCGACGAGTCTTAATTGACATCACAAAATAGACATTAATTTGTCTACTTGGGAATCAACTAGACGCTATATTAAACACGTGTATCTACTAAAATGATGTTTATAGTATTAATAAATTATGTATTTGAAAATGTTTACATTGATTTGCTTACCTTATAAAAAATATAATATGAAAATATACAGTGTGCATCAGTTTTTTGACGACACGTCTTTCATGTGGGCTATTCGCCTTCTCACTTATTTTTATGATCTTTTCATCTCACATAACGTCAGGTATAAAGTTGACTCAGAAAATGAAAAGGTGCACAATATAGTGAAACAGAGATGGCACCCTTAGTGAAAGCTGCCCGATCTTTCGTTATCAAAGTTCAAATGGAACTGAATGCTTCTGACAGGTATCCAAAAAGTGCAGCTAAACTCAAGACGCACATTAATGGCTCCTAATAGGGTGTTTCATTAAGTCGGATCAAAGTCAACAGTAAATAAATCAGTGTTATTGGTGAAAACTTATTTATTCTTCTGTTAGATCATATTATTTAAGCTATAGCAATTATGTGTGAAAAAATGATATTGCCCAAATGTCTTCCAAGGCTTCGGCGGCACACCTCCATTCAATGGTCAAAATTTTTTATGACGTCTCTGTATAGTTGCTCCTCGATCTCACCAATATGACTTATCTCATCCTTCAGTTGTTGAATTGTTGTTTTCTTGTTGGCATAGATCTTACTTTTGAGATGACGTCAAAAGAAGAAATCTAAAGGCGTCAAGTAGCACGATCGTGGTGGCCGATTGACTTCGCTGTTTCGAGAAATGATGGGATCTGGAAAGCTCTCATTACATTTCTGTTTGAACGTCCATTTTCCTAATAGGCTTTGATAACTTTAGCACGTTGTTTGATTGTTAATCTTTCCATGGTTGAAATTGCCAAAGACTTAAGTTGTTAAATCAGAAAGAAAAAGAAAAAAAAAGACCTAATTCACATTTAAAATTGGTCCAAGTTATTGGAACAACCAGAACACTTTCGCACGAAAGGTTTAAGAAATGAACGACCAGAGAAGCGGAAAGTCAAAGTCAATCAAAGCACAGGATCTGAAGGTGTTAGCGCGCCATCAGAAGAGTTGTGAATGAGGACATCGGTTACATGATGCGGAGAAGTTAGTTCATTGATACCCACGAAGCGCTTGCGGAAGAAGCTAATACACCAAGAGGCTGGAATGTTTCGTTTTCGTCAACTGAGGAAAAACATTGAACAGGACGACAGATGGGTACCCAGAGACTCGACTCAAGGCTCATGCATATCCCGTTCGCAGCAATTGTAATGGTTCTGGAAGTCATTAGCAACGAGGGAAATGCTTCATTATATTTTTCAGGTCTTAAGAGTCAATGCTTCTGTCTCTCAGGAAGTGTCGAAGAGAGTTGTGAAGTTCTTGATAGAGACTGTGTTTCTCACTAGAATACTCTGCACTATCACATATCGCTAAAACAACCCAAGCATGGATGCTTGAAAAACTCCATGATCATTTTCTCCCAAACTCATGGTCTCCTAGCTTACTATCTGAATTAAATAGACAACGAATTATGTGGCATTTTCGAGAGAGAAGACAACCAATGCTCTCATAACAATATAAAATCACTGAAGCCCATTAAAACCAGAACAATGTCCCAAATTGATAAAGATCTTCTGAATCGAGTATATAAACGCTTCCGGTCCTTTATCGAAGAAGCCATCAACGCTAACGGTGGATCCACTGAATTGGCGTGATAAAAACATTCTCAAGATTATCTGTACCGATTTACTTTCAACTAAAGCTTCATAAATTTGTTCAAATGTCCTAAAAAAACAAACAAACGAACTCTGATATTAATATGACAATGAGTAAGTTAATTACAAGAAATAGAATTGAGTTTTCTAAAAGGAACTTCTTCAGACAAAATCATGGTTTTATTTACGGAATTAAACCGATTGGCAATAACAGAGTTTTGTTACAGGCTGGGCCGGGATGGTCTGTGATTGGTCAGAATACCTTGTGGGCATGGTCTTTTGAAGGTGATGGATTGCCTTTGTCTAAGTCAGTCATGGGCTAAGTGCGGCCAGCGGGCCACATATAGGCCGTTTTTTTTTATTTTACGAATGGCACCTCGAATTCCATGAGAAAAATAAGCTTTATTAAAATTTTGTTATATATCGTTTCGTTCTCACTTGTTCACTCACATGTTCTCAGGCATAACCTTATACATAAACAATGATGAAGCACGACGTTTTTTGAATTTTGTAACTTTTCGCTGAAGGTAACGTTTTCCTCATTTTAAACGATTGGTGATTTTCACTAATGAAGATCACGCGTGTAAATATCATTTGTTTTAGAAACAGGACGTTCAAAATATTTTTTTTTTCTCTGGAGAAGAAATATATATTTTTTTTTTGGAGGAGGGACATATTTTTTCTCTAGAGAAGAAATATATTTATTAATTTGAAAATTATTTTTTGTATTTTCAGATGAATAAATAAGAAACAAATCACATGCAAGTGTGTGTGTGAATCACTGTCATTTGTGATAAAATTATACCGAGACTACATCTTTTTAATTATTAAGAACTCTTTTCTCCAAAAACAATCAACCTTTCGCCATTTCTATGGCAAATGCTTACGCGTATGATCTTCTGTGATGAAAATGGCTTTTTAGTAGTGCGGCCCGCTGTATGATGAGCCATATCTAATGCGGCCCATTGATCAGAAAAGGTTGCCCATGACTGGTTTACGTTTTGGATATAAGTTCAAAACATCACGAAGTTCGCGGAAGGCCTCAATAATTTTGAAGCGCCAATATGCTTCCCACATCCACATTCGTGAGACAAGCTAAGACTACTAGCGGAGGGCTACTAAGGCAACGACAAGCATGCGTTCACTCCCGCTACCTCCTAGAATCGTTGCTGCCACATCTGTCCCCTTTCTCTAATAAAGCGAGTAAGAAAATGAAATTGTCTTTTATGAATGCCATCTATGCAGTAGCGTTGGGGGCGACGACACGGAATGCAACAGTTTTCATCAGGATTTTAAACATAAAGAGACGCTCAACAAATTTAAATTTTAATGTCCGGTGCATCTAAATTTGGATTTTAAGCAATATCATTCAATTTTATATTTTATTCTGTATATAGGGTTCGATTAAATTGTCGCCATTATATATTTTTAATTTCGCGCATGTGCGTTGTTTGTTTAATTTTTTCGACGCAGTATAGTAGGGTCAGTTGGGCACTGTTCGTACGAAAAATTACACCATGACGCAATTCACTTCCCCAGAAATTGAGAAACTGCATGCTGTACCGATTGGCATCGCACGGGAAGCTCTAATACACACATTTCAGAGTGTAAATCTGAGGATTCCGAAAGAGTTGGTTGAGTCTAATGGTGATTACAAACGTGTGTAGAGCGATCACTAGTGTTAGCGACGTTATGCCTCCGTTCATCTTCCCCCAGAGCCGAAGACTCAACACGGAGGCCCACATCATGCTTTGAGGAGATAGTGCTGCCTTGGGTCAATAGGGTGGCTGCTGGAAGCCTCTATATCTGGCAACAGGACTCGACACCATACCACACAAGCACTTTATTATGTGTGCGGCGCAGTTGAACTCCTTGTAACATCAAAATTGAACTGAAGATTAAGGCAGCTGTCACCAACTTAAATAAGGACACCGTCCGAAAGAGTTGCAGGAGATTCCGAAGTTGTCGAGAGGCCGTGGTTGAAACCAATGGCGATTTTATTGAATAAATTTACTTTTTATTATTTCATGACATTTTTGTGTAATTTGGTTAAAATGAGGTCTTTGTTATTTTCATTTTTTGCGTGATTTAGACGACTATTTATCCATCGCACTCTGTATATATAATAATAAAAAGAAAAGAAAAAAAAAACAAAAACAAAAACAAAAACAAAAAACGAAATGAATGGACAAGGCTGATTTTAAAATCTGAATATATCGGACATCAAAATTTAAAACATCTGTGTAGCTGAAGCTTTAATGTAAACTCCAACTGACGTATATTTATTTTTGTATATAAGATCACTACTTGTATGAAGACGTTCTTTCGGAAATAAAACGCGTCCCAAAACTGTTTTCAGTCTTGTAATTTGCTTACTCTCTTACATAAATTCCGTCTTGACAGAAGAAGGCCATCTCTCCAATTTTGGAACGAGCGTCTGTGAGTGTGGAAGTAACTAAAAAAAAAACCGTCTCACTTCTAAAGGGCTTTCCAACAAATATTTGCAGACGACAAACTTGTTTATAGATTTAAAGTTGTTCTTTTTTCCATTAAGGTTCACCTTTTCAAGGTAGAGGGTTAAGTTACAAGGTCATTTGTTTGTATAGAAGATAACGATAAACCCTTACTTTGAACAGGTTAAGATTGTAGTGATTGGGGAAACATTCTTTTGGGAATCGGTTCCACAGGGCAGTGGTTTGCGGGAAGAAGCTGCTTGGTGGAACTTACTTCTCACCGATGGGATACGGAGGGAATGCGAGTGGCTTGCTACTATGTAAGTGGTATGACATGTTCTTGTTATGAAGATTTGTAGTTCGTCCGAGCCCTTTCAGAGGAAGTAGCGGCAGATCAAAGCGAGTCTTGCCACATCCCATCTGTGAGAGAGAGAGGTTGAAGAGTGGAGAATAATTAGTCACCCACAAGGGCTTGGAGACGCTTTTGAACGCTATTTTGTCCAAATATGACAAAAGCATTCCATTTTTTTAACCTGATCTGTCTCTTGTAAATGTATAGGTTATCAGAAGGAGTCAGGTACTTACTGGAGCGGTACAGAGAGTCAACCATTTTACCTGCATCCTTAGCAATGGTTCGTATGTACGAGTTCCATTTGAAGTCCGGTGTGAGAGTGATGTCCAGCAGTCTTTCAAGGCACAGTACTTCACAAGAGCGCCTCCATTCATCCAAGACTGGTAGTAGTTCTCTATCGGATCAGCGATGATGGAATGTAACTAGCTTGATCTTCGAATGTAACCAACCATTGGGTAGTTTCTGCAAGATCGGAAGAGAGATCAGTCGTCAGTCTTTGGCCGTCGAGAATTTTAGATTTTTAGTCATATTATCGGCATAGATATTTACAAATGATTTGAGGAATGACCCCTTTGTTGTCTATTCAGCATATGGAGACCGACATGCCAAAGGAGTTTCTTTGCTGGTTAGTCGTACCCTGGAAGGGAAGGTGGACCTTGTTCATGACGATGTCGAGGGCCGGTTGATCGTGGCCGATATTGTCGTGAAAAGTGGTCCGTTCCGAGTCGTTGCGGTGTATGCGCCCAACAACTAGGAGAAGCCGGTCTCGTTTTTTCGGCGGTTGGTGCCATTCCTGGTGGATTCAACGCACCTATTCTTAATGGGGACTGAAATGCCATTGTCGCACACATTGCTGAAGGCCTTTGAGATATTTAGTGCTGTGGTCCTCGGTGTGTGTTTGTCGTCAAAAACCTCGCCGACTCTGTTAGTTATAGGACGTCGGCAGTGGATCGGGCCAACCACAACCCATTCTGCTCGTCGATGGAGAGTTTGTTCTTTTCTAGGTGTTTGACGACCCTTCAAAAGCTTCCTGATGATACTGAGGAGATGATTGGGAGAGGGAAGATCGCACGCTCCCATTCTGGAAAACCCGGCATACACTTATTATATACTTTCCACAGGCTTGGGAAGGATTTCTCCTTCAAGCAGAGTTCTTAGGGACAAATACTAGGCATTTGTCTGAACCAGTGACCTTCTTCGGGTCAAGCCATTCGTGTCTAAAGAATTCTCGTGCTGTGATGGTAATATTACTGAGATTGTGTTCAGTGAGACGTGTGAACCTGGGGAGGGGATGGTCTCATCTAACGTTGAGTTAGAGGCAAAGATGGAGGCGAAGAGGTTCGCCTTATCTGTCGAGGAAGATATAATCTCGAGGCCATTTATAATTGTGTGAACAGCCTCTTTACCTCTGTTCATTGGTGATCTTCCAGAATTAACAGGATCCAATTTCTTTTTTTTTTTCAACCTTTGTCTGGATTGCTCGTGCGTAGTTTGGCTTGGTTTGGTCTGGTTTGTTTTAGGGCATGTCAACCTCAATGGGTTATTTAATACCGACAAAATTTTATTGATGGTAATATTTTTTTTCCAAAATGTAATGCTGGTAATATTTTTTTTCCAAAATGTATTGCTGGTAATATTTTTTTTCAAAAATGTATTGCTGGTAATATTTTTTTTCAAAAATGTATTGTTGGTAATATTTTTTACAAAGTATTTCTAGTCTCAAAATCTATTTTTACACTTTCATAGCTGGGACACTAACAAGTGCTACCACCACGGGTCAGGGTGGATCTGAGAACAACAGCAATTAAGAGGTGGTTCCACGCTCCTCAAAACCTACTGATCAGAGGTTTTGCTATTGGACGTAGTTTATCGTCTTACTCAGGACGCGGATGTAGTTTATCGTCACACCAAGGACGCGGATGTAGTTTATCGTCACACCAAGGACGCGGATGTAGTTTATCGTCACGCCCAGGACGCGGATGTAGTTTATCGTCACACCAAGGACGCGGATGTAGTTTATCGTCACACCAAGGACGCGGATGTAGTTTATCGTCACGCCCAGGACGGCTCGTGCGTAGTTGCATTTAAAGAATGTTTGCAGGGAATTGCAGTGAAGGCTGAACAACATTGCTACTTGCGATATATATTGAATTAATGGATGCGCTGAGTTATGGCCTGTTTTTCACAACTTCTCACACAAAAACACATTATATATATATATATATATATATATATATATATATATATATATATATATATATGTGAGATAACGATATATATATTTTTATATATCAAGAATTGGGTAAATTTTATGAGAATATGGAAAAATCTACTTGATCGGACTAAATTTATTGTGTTAGTAGGACTACACATTTTTATTATTTTTTTTATCTCATTTTTAAAAATTCATTTAGTGTCTTTTTCTTTTTCTTTCCGTCACTTTTGTAAGTAGTTTTTTCCACACTATATTAGACGATCTGCCAGGATGGTGAAATGTTATAAAAGCCAGGGCGCAATTTACACACACACACACGCACACACACACACACACACACACACACACACACACACATATATATATATATATATATAAATATTGATAATATTTGTGGTGAATATATATATATATATATATATATATATAAATTTCCAAGAAATTATATGTATATATAAATTTCCAAGAGGATAGAATCCAGGTAGAGCTCAATGTCTAGGACAGAGCAAGAATATAATATAAAAGGCTCAAACACTCCATGGTTAAAATATATATCAAATATTCCATGGTTAAAATATATTACATTGGAATCGTAATCACGATTCAATTCATCAGCATTTGTAGGTCTGATGAATTTTTAAATCTGATGAATTGGATCGTCATTACGATTCCAATGTAATAAATTTTTAACCATGTAATATTAGTGCTTGAGCCTTTTTTTATATATATATATATATATATATATATATATATATATATATATATATATATATATATATATGTAGATATATGGACGAATAGAGTTCAAAGATCAAATCGATTTCATGACATTCACTTATGCGTAAATATCCTTGGGTATGACATGAATCCATCTTTTTCACTCCACCTGTTTTGAAGACAGAGTAGGCTATTTAGCCTTGGTTGGCATCCGGCTTAGTAGAAGGACAACTCTAAATTAAAAACCTTAGCAGTGTCGTTTGTAAAGCTTGTGGCACACTTCATGCGCCAGTTCTCTGAGTTCGTTTCCTCCGATCTGGAAAATCTTTGCTGCAAATCGTCCTTCCTGGTGTAGGACACTCAAACAGTGGGCAGAGACTTTAGAGTCCATCCGTCAACATGAAGAGGATCTGCGATGTGCTTTCAGGAAGGCCCGACTCACCCAGCCGCGTCCTCCATCCACACACATCTGTAACTCCTGCTAACGAGTCTTCAGGATTATGCTGGGCCTCCGTAGCCATCTCCGCTAATGACACCAGAGAGGAAAAAGGGAAGGAGGAGTGAGGATGTATAGATAAATCTAGTTAAATATGTATCTCAGTGTTTATTAATATCTATCTATCTATCTATCTATCTATCTATCTATCTATCTATCTATCTATCTATCTATCTATCTATCTATCTATCTAATTATTCCATTCTGTTCATTATCTATCTATCTATCTATCTATCTATCTATCTATCTATCTCAGTGTTTATTAGTATCTATCTATCTATCTATCTATCTATCTATCTATCTATCTATCTATCTGTTTGCCTCCTTGATGATGATAGCACCTTTCCATGCACAACGTGTGCATCAGTAAATTGTTGGGGTAAGCTATTGCATATATCTAGACCCGAGCTCTCAAATTCTCCTTTAGCGACCAGAAGCAAAGTATCCAAGTTGGCAGTTTTGAAGCTAATGAATCCACCAACGTTCTTTGGAGAGTTTATAATTGTTGTGTTTCCCAATACATATACGCCCCGGCAGAATTTATGAAGACATTCCTTCTCTTAGACTGCTTGACGCTCAAGAAAGCTCAGTCTTCCTTCTTTCACTGTTTTTGGAAGTAACTCGTTTATAAACAACTGCAGTGAAATCGAACTGAATATTAATCAAATCCACCTGTGGCGTCAGCGTAATTTAAGTAATTAAAAAAAATGAAAAAAGAAGAAAAACGTAAAGTTAAACATAACAATTTCCGAATTACATTATTTTATATTGCATTTAAGAATTCTACTAAATCTATTAGTTTACATACATTAAAATATCATTATTTTCTATTTATCAGAGTTTAATTAAAAACCACATATTTAGGAAACACCAGAACCGGTCGATATCCTAAGTTACCTTTTAAAAAACTCATATATTTATTCGGCATTTCAGGTCGAAGTGCAGTGAAAAGGTGGGTTTATATAATCTACAAGGACATTTCACTGAGTTCGCTGATTTGAATTTCAGCGCTGATAACAAGTAGGGTTAATTAATGAAGAACATGTCATTTTCGTTTATGATGGATTTCATCCCGATTTTCTGTTTATCTTGGAGAGTAATTACACATTCTTATTACTCAAAGTAGAGTCCAATAGTGTTATAAAAACCCCGGAGAATTCCAGTAAAAATATCTTTAATCATTTCTAAGATACAACGGTTCAAAGTTTAATCTAACAAATGGACAATTTTGCTGTTACACGATTTGAATATATATATATATATATATATATATATATATATATATATATATATATTAATTATAAATTAATTGATTTAAAATATGTTTTTTTCCTTACACAGTTCTAACCATGTTTCAAAAATGGAAGCTAAAAGCCCCGAATTTAATTTTGTAATTGAATTAAAGACATTAGTTCCATTTCATCCTCAAGCGAATTTTGGAGTAACTTTTAAAATTACTGGGTTATAAAGACACAGCTAAAATCATAATTCACGTTTCCAAGGTTACAGATAAATCCACTTCACTAGACAAGGGGTGTCTGCGTGTTCATTATGTCTGTAGTTTGATGTATCAGTTATTAGTTACGTTTTGGTAGGGGGTAGGGATGTATTTTTCAATGAAATCTAACATCCGTTAAAAGCATGTCGTCTGGATTTTTTAAAAATTTTATTGTTAACGGTAAAAATTCTTATATTTTTTTCTATTTGTATATTTAAAGATTTTTGGGGTGTGTTAAGGTTAGAATATTTTCACTTTTAATTTTTAACATACTATATTTCTTTTAAGAACAAGTAAATGTATTAGAATCCCTTACAGTATGTAGAATTATTATCACATCAAGTATAAGTATGTAAATTATTAGGTTACAATTTTTTTTTTAATATTCAAATATTATTTAAGTCAAATTTATGACAATGACGGCAAATACTGTTCTTTCTTTCTTTCTTTCTTTCTTTCTTTTTTTTTTATATATATATATATATATATATATATATATATATATATATATATATATATATATATATATAGTACTTTTTAAATGGACACAGCTTTGCTCCACTCAGATCTACCTTGAACAAGTCATGGAACCTGGAACCAATCGGTGTTTCTATTTCTCATTTGTTCCTTAATTGTAGTGTTGCTCTTTTGTAGAAATGAGAATCTTTAAAGCAACATTGACTGGCTAACTGCCAGCTAGTCGCAGAATATGGTCGGTGAAGTGAATCCGGTCCAAAGCGAAAGAGTCTTGTGGTCCAGCTTAAAAAACAGCAATGGTAATTTTGAAGATATAACTTTGAATTCCTTAATTCACTTCATGGAACTTCAAAACCTCACTTTAATTCTGATTTAGGCTATAAGTTCAATTCCGGACAAAAGACCGATTTTGACTGAAAATCCGATTCAAGCTGAAAAAGAGTTCTTCAAATCACAAACTCTTCAGAACTTTTAACTCTGGTTCCTTGGCATTTTGAAGTAATAAAATTGATTTCCTCAATTTACTAAGTTTTGGATATATTTTAAATTGAATTTAAAATAAAAAAAAAAAATTAAATTTCCAAAGTTTGTTAAACTCAATATAAATTTAAAATATTTAAAATCACTGATTTTTTTTAGTTATTTTAAGATTTGAATTTTTAACTGTTCCTTCTTCATCCGAACACAAATCCCAATGCTGGATGTTATTTTAAGATATGAACTCTTCCTTCCTCATTCGAACACAAATCCCAATGCTGGATGTTCAATCAATTTTTAATCCCGGGATCATCTTGATTCCAAAAATATATAATATGTAAAATGTAGTATTGGCCCGAATTAAATGGGTTTCAGAAACACGGACGCAACGACAGAATTTTCCGTTTATTTATTTAGATTAAATTATATTACATAGCGCTCTCCATAATTTTCCTAGACTTTTCTGTTAACCTGATGAATATTTATGGGAGTTCTTTAATTTAAAAACATTTGAAAACTAACATTTATGCTCGTGTCTATAAAGACTTGGTACAAAATAAAATCCTTGCATTTGTCTTGATAAAGTTCCTCATT